AAATCAAGAAACAAATAACATCATATTTACACATTTAAAGAATTCAAGATTGGGAATCAGAATTTCCAGATTCCAAAATCAAGAGTCAACACGACAGGCAACTGGAGATCGAGATTTCTCTCTGGAGCCCAGAATAACATATGTTGCATATGCATTTTAGGCATACCTAAGAGCAGTGCATCCATAACATCGCATATATGCATATCTTTGTAGGTTTTACCTAGAGCCAATTTTAACTTCGCAGCGAAGTATATTGGACTCAAAACGACACAATTTGCTCGAGAATATATTTTAACTTCACGACGAATGATATCTGACTCGAAGCCAAACTTTACAATGAATGAGTCACCCATAGTTTCAACTTCACGACGAAGGGAATCATGTCCACCCACAATATACAATACTTGGATTTAAACTTCACGACAAAGGATATTTAAGTCAAGGCTCAACTTCATGACGAATGGGCCATTCGCGATTTCAACTCCATGATGGAGGATATCGTACCCACGTATCCACGATTTCAACTCCACAACCGAGGATATCGTGTCATTTGAGGCTCAACTTCACGATGAAGGGGCTTCCCAGTTTCATTCAGAGTCAATTTTAACTTCACAACGAAGAATATTAGACTCGAGATAATACAAGCTCAACTTTATAACGAAGGGGCGACTGACTGTCAACAAACAACATTTCTATTTCATTCAGTCAATTTCAACTTCATAGCGAAGGATATTGGACTCGAGACAACACAAGCTCAACTTCACAGCAAAGGGGCGACTGGCTGTCAATAAACAATTTCCAGTTCTAGAGCCAATTTCAACTTCACGGCGGAGGATATTGGACTCGGAACAATACAACTTACTTGGATTTCAACTTCTCGACGAAGGATATCCAATTACCAGGCTCAACTTCACGACGAAGGGGCCACCCGCGGTTTCAACTTCAAGACTAAGGGAATCGTACACACGAGAAACATCCATCTCTAGATTGGATTTCAACTTCACGACGAAGGATATCCAACTCAAAGAAAGAATGATATTTGCCTCGAAACAACATAACTTACATTGGATTCCAACTTCACGACGAAGGATATCCAATTCCCAGGCTCAACTTCACGATGAAAGGGCCATATACAATTCCAACTTCACAACAAAGGGTATTGTACCTCAACAGATCGACCCAACATCACGACGAAGGAGTCATCTGCAGTACAGTAACACCAAAGCCTTCGGGTCAAGCTTTAGCTTCACAACGAAGTATCTTGAGCTAGAAGACGGTTCAGATGCTACTTGTCAAGGGCTTTTGAGTTCGATTTCAACTTCACGATGAAGGATATCGCGCTCAGAAGTTTCCAGTTCAACTCAACCTCACGGCAAAAGAGTTATTTCATATTGACAAACCAGTTTCAATATCGGATTTCAACTCTGTGACAGAGGATATTCGATATGGCCGAAATTTATGTCTTTTAATCTTTGCTCCATTTTCGTTATACGATAATGAGCAAAGAGGGGTAGCTGAAGACATCGAATTTTGTCCATTGATATAGTTTTATATAATATATTTTTTATTATTACAAATTATATTATAAAATATAATATTTATTTATTAATTGTGTTACATATTACAGGCCTATTACACGAAAATGAAAACAGCCCAAGACCGGCTGCATGCGAACCAGTCCAACGAGCTAGGGTTTTTAGAACCCTAGCGTTCCAAGCGGCGCCTCATCCCATGTTCGAAGTCCCCACGCCGCATGCCACCAACTCTGATTCCTCCGGCACAAGGATCTCTCAAGACACCACCAACAAACAACAGATTTAGAGTTTTAAGAGGACTTAAACTCTTAAATCTTAGGCTATAAATATTCAATGTAATCAAACACTGAAAGATCACGAGAGAACACTACGATTATATACAATATTACGCACAAAATAGACACAAAAATCTCACAAAGTACAAGAAGCGTTGTAAAGTCATTCGGAATCAGAGAAATAAACAGGTAGAAATTTTGTTACCTTTGTTGTTTTTTATTCGTGTTCCTTGCATGCCTTGCTTGTCTCCTTTCTGGTTTTTTTTAAAAATCACGAACGCCGATGACTTTGGGGTGGAGGTTCTCGAAACTTCGAATCTAGATCTGCCCTCGAGGCCTAGTTTTTTCAAAAAAAAAAATATTTTGGTTTTCGAAGAGAAGGGAATGAAAACTCTCGAAAAATGAAATTTGTTTTAATATTCACCGCCGATGACCGGCGGCCAGCGCCGATCAACGACGGTCGATGAGGCGGCGAGATCGCCGTAATCTGGGTTGCGCGGCGATTGTTCATCCGCCTGATGAACACGCAAGAATAGGCGATAGGATTTGTGGGATCTGTTTTCGATCCAAATGAAGGGTGATTTTAATTTTGAAATGTGTTTCTGTTTTTTTAGTTATATAGTGAGCCTGTAAGCAGACCCGACCCATATACCTACAACCCACGTGTTTTTGTTTAAAAATGGGTAAACCGCACTTTTGGTCCCTCCGATATGAAAAGGATTTTGTTTTGATCCCATATATGAATCGATTTCTTCTGAATTTAGCCCCCAATCTAGTTTTTATTTCAAATTTACCCCATTATCATTATACATATATTTTCATATTTTTATTTTATTCTTTGTTTTTACTATTTTATTTTATTTTATTTTTGTTTACTATTATTATATCTTATTTTGTATTATTTTATTTCTCTATTATTATTATATTTTCCCCTCTAGTATTTAATTATATATATGTACCTATACATTTATTATATTTATATATATATATATATATATATATATATATATATATTTTCCATTTATTTATTTTATTTAAATATCATATTGTATTATTTTACATATAGGTTTTGTTTTCTCTCCTTATTTATTTTATTAATATTAATATTAGTATGTATATATATATTATTATTATGGTTTTGTTTTCTTTATATCTATTTTTTTATTTATCTAATTTTATTTTTACCTCGCTTTTATTTTTTTTATTTTTTATTATGTATATATTTTTATTATTTTTTCGATGTAAATCAATTCGTTAGGTAAACATAGAAGATCCGTACATCCTGAGCGAAAGTGAAACATAATTATTAATAGCATGAGACCCTTAAAACCTATTAGTTAAAAGTATTTTTTTTGACAAAAACAAGCAAACATGTTGATCTCACATCTTTTTTATTATTCTTTAATTTTTTTTTGCTTTTACCCTTTTTAATTGTTTTAACCTTACTTTATTATCATTTTTAATTCTTTTCTTTTATCATTTTTCTAATTAGTTTTATTTATTTACTATAGTTTTTTAATTAGGTTTTTTTATTTCTTTTCCATCTGTTTGTTGTTGTTTATTATTTTATTTTATTTTACTTTATTTTATTATAATCTTTTAGCTAGCTTTTGTTCTTGTTATTTATTTATTATTTTTTTACCTTCTCTTCATTTAAGTAATTTCTTTCTTGATAATACATATTTGTTTTATTATATTCTTGGCATTTTCTTTTTTATTTTCTTTTTCGACTTTGTTCATATTTTATTTTCTCAATTAGCATTAATTTTTTTCTAATTTAGTAAGACCTCTTTATTTGTTGTGTAGATTTAATATGTAATTGGTTGTATTTCATTTCTTTTAATACATCAGCATGCATTTTTATCTTAATTCGATTCTGAGCTTTATTACAAATCTAACATTTCTATCTTTTTAAAGGTATTCGTTAAATCGATCGGAGGTAAGTAATTAGGATCATACTTTACCTTTTAATTTAAATTACAATTTTCTTAATTAAAGACAACTGAAAATTATGTAGTACCGAAAGGGCAGTTTAAGGGTGCTAACCCTTCCTTGACTGTAACCGACTTCCGAGTCCGACATATCTTTGGTAAGACGCATATCAGGTAAGAAATAAGGTGTTCGATCAACCCATTTGTTTTAAAATAAATGATCGGTTGTGACTCTAAATCGTTTAATCCAAGTCGAAGCACAATTCTGGGGCCCAACCGAAAGACGGTTCCGACAATACCCATGTTAAAAACTTAACGTTAAGTTAAAAAAAATGAAATTTCATGTATTAAAACGGATTAAAATTGATAGTTTAGATATTAAATGCCTTAAGTTCTTAGTTGCGAGATACTAAAATGAAACAAAATTTAAACGTTAAGTATGTTTTTGGAAAAATTAAAAGTTTAGATACTAAAACAGACACAAACCGATAGTTTAAATACTAAACACATAGTTTACCCAAATTTTTTTAATAATTTGAATTAAATTGGTAAAAAGTTCAATGTAACGGGGAAAATGATACCAAAAAACTTTTAAGACTCAATTGAGTAAACTAAGTATAGTCCAAGGGGTAGATTCTGCATTAAGCTTAATAAAAATGGATTAAAAAAATATAAAATTGATAATTAAATGATTGCTTTGTAATTTTTAATAATAGAATGATCAAACGAAAAATATTGATAATCATATAAGTATTTATGCAGTTTACTTAAATTAATAATTTGAATATTTTTCTAATACTATAAAGACTCTATAAAAAGACGAAAATCAAAATATTTAATAATATGAAATTCCTAATTTGAATTAGGAAAGATATTAAAAAAAATTCAACGGAGGCAAGCATTAAATTCAAAAAGTGTAGGAGCAAAAAGAGTAATTCAATTAAAAATAAAATCATCACGTGAGTTGAGCATGACTCCATAGAAGGCATTTGAGTGTTAACAAAGACAAGTACGTCAGTAGAACAATTGGCAGCGTGCTTTTCAGATTCGATAAAAAAACCTAATTTCACCCTTCTCTTTAATTTCATCCCAATTTCTCTCTTCTAGATCCTGAAAGATAAGTTTTTTTTTTTAAAATCCTAAAAGAAAAGAAACACCGGATTTTATATTACATTGAAAATATAATCAATTTTGCTCATCAACCACTCTCTCACAAACATTCTCTTCTATTTTCCGTTTACTTTTATTTTTTTTCTAATTTTTTCTTTGTTTCCGATAACCTTGTCTTTGTTGAAAACTAGGGTTTGCTCTAATGGTGGGTTTCGTCTGTTGCAATTAGGCCGTGTCTGGGAGATTTTAATTTCTTCTGTAAGAGAAGTGCGGTTGTAGTGGCGTCCTAAATATATAATCTTGTGAGTATTCTCTATTTCTTTTCGCTGCAAGCCTTTTTTAATAGGTGCTAGTGAATTTTTTTATGAAAGGCTTCGATTAATTTTGGTGCCATTGTTTCATTTCTGAAGCTAGGGTTTGGAAAATTTTGGGCTGGAAGTGAATATATTACTGTTTGTTATCCCTTAATTTTCTTCGGTATTAGCTCCTTTTTTTTTGGGAGAAAGTGGAATTGTCTTGTATATTTATTTTGTCCAGGAAAATAAGGTTAAAAAAAACTATTTTCTGCTGGCAGAAGGCCTCTTTCTAAATCAATGCCTTTTTTCCGGGTCAGTTTTGGGAATTATTTTCTTTGCTGTGCTGCATTATTCAAATTGTTTAAACTAATAAGATTGTGCCTTTAGCTCCGTTATTCTTTTAGCTTATAAGTGTGACCTAACTTCATTTTGCAATTTAACATGTTTTCTTTGGACTTATTGGATCTCTTTTTTTCTGCATATGTTTTACAAGAATCATATCTTTTTTAGGTTTATGGTGAATGACTCTCAGGAATATGATGTTTTTTCGTAGGTTTTGAAGGTGAGATTTGTTTGGAAAAGATGTCATCAAAGTACCAAATACTTGACAATAGACCGATTGATCAATGGAAGGTTACTGAGTTGAAAGAAGAGCTTAAAAGGAGGAAATTGACAACTCGGGGCTTGAAGGAGGATTTGGTAAAACGTTTGGATGAAGCTCTTCGAATAGAGAGGGAAAATACTGAAAATGAGGAAGATAATGGTTTAAATTCTGATACACAGCCTATAGATGAGGGAGGGATTGAAAAGGTTATGTCGGATATTGCTGAGACAGTTAAAGATGTTGTGGATCATAGTGGAAGTGAGATCAAGAAGGAGAGTAGGGTGAAGGTTCAGGTTGACATTAATGAGAGTGCAGCTGCTTTGGGTCACGAAGGAGTTCTGGTAAGGGACAGCATGGTGCAAGAGGAGCTCATTGCTCAAGCTACCACTGTTCAGACTGAGATAACAGTTACCAAGGATGTGGTATCTGAGGTATCGATGGTTGGACAACCACAAGATTTGCAGAGCTCAGGACAAAACGAGGATGTGAATACTGATATCAAATTGGAGTCTGAGGATCCTAAGCTCCAGTTGGAGACTGAGGATCCAAAGGCCTGGTTGAAGAATGAGGACCCAAAGCCTCAGGTGCAGAATGAGAGTCCAAAGGCTGAAGAACCCAAGGGCGAGCTGGAGTGTGTGGGTTCAAAGCCTCAGCTGGAGAGTGATGATTTGAAGCCCCAACTGGACATTGAAGATTCGAAGGTGCACCCGGAGAATGATGATTCAAAAGCTGCACATGAGGATGACATGCGTGATTCTTCTGCTCCGAACATCCAGGTATCTGAGGTCAGCCCTAATTTAGGGTTTCAAGTAAAATCTGATTCTATTCCTACTGATTCTGTGTCAAATAATGAAAAGATTGAAATAAAGGATAACATAATTGCTGATAATGTCAAATTAGACCTAGATGTTATAAAGCCAGAGATGGTGGAACCACCATCCAGCAATGTTGTCCCAGGTAGTGGTGAATCACATCCAATGGATGTTGGAGGACCACCTGAGATCAAGGCACCTGTTGATGAAAGAGATGACAAGAATGCTACAAATGTAGACATGAGCAATAAAAATGATAGTGCAGAGATGGCATACTCAGAAAAATTAAATTTAGATAGAAGTTCTGGCGATGACTCTATGGAGGAGGATGTGCTTGAGAGTAAACAAATTGATTCTAAATATAGTACCGATGAAACGGGAGTAAAGAGAGAAAAAAATGGAGTACCTATTATCAAGGAGAAAAGTTATGTTCGTATTATAGGAGATGATTTATCTGCAGATAAAAAGAACGTCTTTGTTGAGAATAAGAGCGGTTCTTTTGTTCCTGCCGGAAAAAGAAAGCTTCATGGTAAGTGACGATGGCCTGGAATTGTTATTTATTTAGTTACTGTCCTTTCTTTGCATGTATGCATGCTTTTCCTTTACTGATAGCATTTTGAAGCTAAGGTGATTGGATACTAGTAGTGCTTGTACTTTAACAGACATGCTTAAGACAACTAATTTAAGTTGGGTTTTTGAAACTTGATCTGCTTAAGTTGTACATGTGGAATGTGATAACTTTGTTTTAATTTTTTGTATTCAATAGTTTCTACACTGTTTCCATGGAGCACTGCTTCTTTGGTTTTGATTTAATAATATATAGATATATATTATATTTATACTGGTTTTGGCTAGAAATTGGCATAATATTTGTTCTTTTACTTTTCTATATTGGTTTCGTACTTCCCGGAGCCCTGGACAGCAAAGTTTGTAGGCACATTTAATATTGAGCTTGCTGTGTTGCTGGGGGAATAAATTTTAGAATGCGAATCCTTTTTGAGAATGAAATCTGTTGTTTGCTTCTTAATAAATGGACAATTCTCACTTAACGAGCTGTCTGTACAGATCAGGAAACTGTTGAGAACAACGAGCTATCAAAAAGACGCAAATGGAACTCTGACAATATAAAAGTTCCAGAACATCAAGGTTCCAATCTTATCCCCACCAGCACACCTAAAGGCACAACTCAACCTACTGCTTTCAGACGCAACTTCTCTAGATCAGACTCAATGGCAAGTGAAGATACACCTAAGGAACGAGTTGGTGAGTTATCATCTCTCAGTCAAATGCTTCAAAATGAATGCTACTGAATGTGGCTTTAACATCTCAAAGGTTTTTGTTTGATCTTATTTTGCAGTTCCCCCTTCTCAAAAAGCTCCAACAACTTCCCTCAGAATTGATAATTTTGTTCGCCCTTTTACCTTGAAAGCTGTACAAGAATTTCTTGGGATAACTGGGACTGTAACGAGTTTCTGGATGGACCACATTAAGACCCATTGCTATGCCACAGTAAGACTTATTGCTTTCTTTGCATCTGCTTGACTTTAGTGATTTATGATTAATTATTCGTTTTGGCATTTTATATGTTGGGGTTATTCTATTGATCTAATCCACTTTGGGAATTACTTTGATGCAGTATTCTTCTGTAGAAGAAGCAATAGACACACGAAATGCTGTTTACAACCTGCAATGGCCACCTAATGGTGGACGTCTATTGGTGGCAGACTTTGTTGATCCACTGGAAGTTAAAACTCGGGTTGATGTTCCACCTCAGACTCCAACTACTCCTGGGACTTATGGTTCTACAGCTCCTCAAGCTCAACCTGCTTCTCAGCCCCAGCCTTCACCTCGTCAACAGATTTCTAGACCGCAGCTACCACCACCGCCTTTGTCTAACCCTACACCAGTTAGAGAACGGCTCCCTCTTCCGCCACTACCTCCTGAGAAACTAGATCCTCCTATTGTCACTCTGGATGATCTGTTTTGGAAAACCAAAGCAACTCCCCGGATCTATTATTTGCCATTGTCAGATGAACAAGTTGCAGCAAAGCAAGCAGAGAGGGCAGAAACATGAAGCCGTAGAGATCAGGCTGTAGTTTATGACTGGCTGTTGTTCCGGTTTTCTTATTGGTTGGTGTGTATGTTAGATACTGGTAAGAAAGTGTCACATAATTGCATCTTTGCAGGTCTGCAGGTTTTGCTTAATTTGAAGGAATTATTCATGCCATGAGGAGGGATCGTATCTGGTGATGGCTATCGGTTATCTGACAGCTACTTTGGGCTTGAGTTTTAAGTTCCATATAGCATTAGAATCCATCAAACTTAGAGCTCTCTTTTGTAATGGATTGTTGATTCTCTTTTGTCCGAGTTTAGTTCACTTTTATGCCTGATTTTGTAGAATCGAACTCTGGATGTTGTTTTCCTTGTGTTAGTTAAAAGAGTAGGGAGACTCCCCGGTATTATTATCATGTTCTCCAACTCGTTTGATGATTGTGTAGTTTCAGTTGGGGTTTTGTCATTTACTTTTGTGCAAATGTGCTTCTGAGTTTGGTGAGGGAATGACTCGGGATTGATAAGAATCTTCTCTCTCTCTCGCATGAATTTCATGTTTTCATTTTTGTGTCGCCGGCCAGTTTAGTTTGACATTGTTTTTGATAAGTGCTTTTGGAAACTGGTGCTAGAAAGTATTTTAAGAGTTGAATATCAGTGAAGTGCGATATCTATATTTGGACGTATCAATTTTTGTATCGGAAATTTATTTATTTTTCCCTTCTAAAATTAACCAAAATTGAGCCTTACTCAACCCTTTCAACTTTTTAATAATGAAGACTTATACTCTTGCATTAGTGGTGCTTGAACTTGAGATGTTAAAGAATAACAATAAATTCCTTAATCATTGAGATAATTATATTTGTGTTGTTTATAATTTTTTTAATGTGAAGAAAGAGAAGATTTTTTCTTAAATATAATAAAATTATTTTTAATATTAAAATTTAAGTAAAATAATATTATCAATAATAAATTCTTCAACTATTTCACTAAATGTGTTCGTTATTAAATTTTTAAAATTTTAATTTTGACAATGACTATTTTAAATATTTTAAACAATTAAATTTTATAAAATATATATTTAAAAATTATTTGAGGTAAAGATTTTAAAACATATATTTTTCATATTTTTATTAATAATAAATATAATGAGTTAAAATTAAAAAAAGTAATTACAAAGAAAATCAACAATGAATAGATTTAATGAGATAAACGGAAATATTAGAATTAATTATAAAATATAAAAACAAATAAGAGTCAATTTAGGATTAAATTGAACTAAAAAAATGAGAGATTTGACTTTTTTTTTTATTAAAACCAAAGTCATTTTTTGTTGAAAAGTGCCATGTGGTGCGATCTTATTGATCAAATATTTTTTTATCCGTTTGAATAAAACGAGTAAAAGAATTAAATGTTAAGAGGAAAAATAATATAAAAAATAATTTAGGGGACCACTCAATAAAATAACTAAAGTCGAAGGGGAACATTGTGTTTTTTTTAATTAAGATAAGGTCGGAGTACAACGTGCTTTAAGCCTAATAAAAATAAATAAAAAGATAAAATTGATAAATTAAGTAATTATTTTGTAATTTTTGATAGTTAGACGATAAAAGAAAAAAATATTTAGGCAATTAAGTATTTTTATACTTTACCCAAACTAGGGGTGGGAATAGGCCAGGCCAGACCAGGCTTTAATAGGCCTGGGCCTGACCTACAATGATTTGTGGCCTGTCAAAGGCTTTTATTTAGGCCTGGCCTGGGCCTGTTTAAAAGTCTGGCCTGTTTGAAAGCCTGTTTAACAATAAACATTTAATATTTTCAGTTTAGCCATTAATTTTAGAGTAAAATCACTATTAAGTCACTCTAACTTAGTATATTTTACAAAGTAGTCACTCTAAATAGGTCGGCCTATCAGGCTTATAAGGCTTTTTAATAGGCCTAAGTCTGGCCTGTTTAGTTAAATAAGCTTTTAAAAAGGCCTGGGTCTGACCTGTTTAGTTAAATAGGCCAGGCCAGACCAGGCTTTATACAGGCCAGGCCCAGGCCCCTGTAGGCCGGCCTGGCCTATTCCCACCCCTAACCCAAACTAATAATTTGAATTTTTTGTGATATTGGGAATTTTTTTAATTTCAACAATGTTTTGAGTCTAAAAATATTATACCTTACTTTCCTTTTGGATTCTATATAAAAAAACTGAAATTTAAAATATTTAATATTTAACATGAATTCGTAAAATCAGGAAAGATAAAAAAATCATTAAAAAAAAGAACTCTACAAAGGCAAGCATAAAATTCAAAAAGTTTAGGGGCAAAAAATATAACTAAGTTAAAAATTAAATGGTGAACTATAAGGATGATCTCTTATATTTTAGTCTGTTTGATTTTGGTCATCAATTTAAAAAAAGAGTGTTTTTAGTTTCTTATGTTATCGGTCCATTTGATTTTAGCTATTCGACCATTAAATCCCATTAACCCATAAATAGAAGTCTAAGTTGACAATTAAAAATAAAAATAAAAAATCCACCTTTTTTTCTCATTCTTCTTCGCTTCTTCTTCTTCCACTCTTCGTTGCTACAAGTACTTGTACTAAAAGTGGCGTGATTGGAACACTTCCAGGAAATACCTCCGCAACCACCTTCTGGTCATCTACTTTAAGTTTAATTGGAAGTAAGGAAGTTCGGTTTTGTTGTGGCAAAACTATGCATTATTACCTCCATAGAAGAATTACTTTTGAGTCGAGATCCTTCTTCATGTGATAATGTCTCTAACTTCTAACTTGTCAATACTTGATGATTGTTGCAGTAAATTGACATACAAATGAACATCGTCCACGAAGCTTGCACATAAGCAAAATTTGATCCCAAGAGAATAAATAGTTGAAATAAAGATACATTTTAATGATGAGAAAAAGGTTGACTTTAAAACAAATATTCATATTAGAAATAAAATAAGACATTTAAAATTTAATGTGAAGTTTCAGTTAACCTCCATCATATTACCACAATGAATATTAATGACTACATATGAATATTATTCAACTATGTATTTATGTATTTATTTATACATGCATTGCATTTTATCTATATTTTTAATTTTCTGACTGCCGGAGGTCTTCCACGGAAGCTACTCTCAACCTAGCGTTGGGGGCAACCTACTACCCTACCTCCCCCTTACCCCATTGCATATGGGAATTGGGTTTTGTTGTTGTTGTATATTACCACAATGAATGTTATGGAACTATGGCATCCAAATTAATAATTGTTGAAATTCAGGCCATTTCTGTGCAATTAATGCACCGAATGGCAAATGTCAAAAAGGGTGGCTTTGTGTTGAAAATTAGCAATGGTAGAAATGCACATTTAGTCATTGTAATTTAGGGTATTTACAAATTAGTCCTTAAGCTTCAACTATAAATACCCTAGCTCATTTAGCTTCAAAATCATCCCAAAGCATTCTAGCTTTCTTCTAATACTAGAGAATTTAGAGAGTTTCTTGAGAATTGTTTTTCTCCTTTTTATCAAGACAGAATTATCATTGTTTTCTCCTTGGTAGATAGAGAAAAGTTGTAATTCCTATTTTCTCATAGTGAAATTCTTCTATCGTTGCCCGTTATTTTTACCCTATATTATTTAGGGGTTTTCCACGTAAATTTTGTGTCTCTTTTATCTTCATTTTTTATTTTCTCAAATTATCAGTTGTGATTTTGCTCTATCCGATAGCCGTCTTACGCAACAATTGGTATCCGAGCCAGATTAAAGTGTGTAATATCTGCTTATTATCTTTGTGGTTGCCACCAAAAGTTGGATCCTCTAACATAAGAAAGTAATAAATTATTACCCATTCTTTAAAGGTTCCAAAGAACAATTCACAATAGTGAAATAGTGGGAGCTATCCGTAATAGAAGCTATGGCAACGAAATTTGATATTGAAAAATTCAATGGAAGAAATTTCTCATTGTGGAAATTGAAGATGAATGTCATCCTGAGGAAAGACGATTGTCTAGAAGTTATCAGTGAAAGGCCGGTGGATTTCACAGATGACAACAAATGGATCGAAATGGACGGGAATGCTATGTCAAACTTTCATCTAGCATTAGCAGATGAAGTATTTTCAAGCATCGAGGAAAAGAAGACAACTAAGGAGATATGTGATCATCTCACCAAACTGTACGAGGCCACATCGCTGCACAATAAAATTTTCCTTAAGAGAAAATTGTACACTCTCTATATGTTAGAATCTACTTCAGTGACGGAGCACTTAAACACATTGAACACGTTATTTTCTCAGCTTACATCCTTAAGATGTACAATAGGAGAACAAGAACGAGCTGAACTTCTACTTCAAAGTCTACCTGATTCGTATGATCAACTCATCATCAACTTGACAAATAGTAATGTCACTAGTTTAGTCTTCGATGACGTTGCAACTGCTATTCTACAAGAAGAAAATCGGTGCAAGAACAAGGAAGACAACAAGAAAATCTGCAACAAGCAGAAGTGTTGACAACGATGAGAGGGAGATCAACAGAACGTGGCCAAAGCAGCAGTCACAAATATGGTAGATCGAAGTCGAGGAGCAAGAAGAATTTAAAGTGTTACAACTGTGGAAAGAATGGTCACTTGAAGAAGGATTGTTGGAGTCTAAATAAAAACTCCAATCCACAAGGCAATACCGCAAACACTTCAGATGATGGAGATACTCTATGCTGTGAAGCGTCAACCACAGTGGAAGGCAGATAAAGATTTGCAGATATATGGCTCAATGATTCTGGAGCAACATATCACATGACCTCAAGAAGAGAATGGTTCTATCATTATGAACCTCTCTCAGGAGGATCTGTGTATAATTGCAATGATCATGCCTTAGAGATCATTGGCGTGAGAACCATCAAATTGAAGATGTATGATAAAACCATTAAAGTTGTCCGAGATGTGCGGCACGTGAAAGGCCTGAAGAAAAATTTATTATCCTACGGATTGTTGGATAATAATGCAAGCAAGATTGAAACACAGAAAGGAATCATGAAGGTGTTCCGTGGAGCGTATGTGGTGCTGAAAGGCGAAAAGATAGCTGTAAACTTGTACATGCTGAAGGGAGAGACTTTGCTAGAAGCAGAAGCCTCTGTTGCCTCATGTAGTTCAGATTCTACAATGATATGGCATCAGAAACTTGGACACATGTCAGAACAAGGAATGAAAGTCCTTATGGAGCAAAAACTACTTCCAGGCTTAACAAAGATATCAATTCCTTTGTGTGAGCATTGTATAACAAGTAAGCAATACCGGTTGAAATTCAACACATCAAATTCTAGAGGTAAAAGTGTTCTAGAATTGGTTCACTCTGACGTATGGCAAGCACCAGTTTTATCCCTAGACGGAGCAAAATACTTTGTCTCATTTATTGATGACTACTCCAAGAGATGTTGGGTGTACCCTATTAAGAAGAAGTCAGATGTGTTTTCAACTT